TATATACGTGTGTATATACATATATATATATATATGTACATATATATTTAACAGATAATCGGATAAGATGGCGACGCACGGGTTACTCTCTTGTTGACTCGGTATTTCTCGGTTTTTTTTTTTATTTATTTACTCTTTTTTCCGACTGTTCTGCAGGTTTACATGCGTGCCACGTATAGAGCACGATTGTTCGGTGTCCACGCCCGTCATTGGTTTACGAGCGTCACGTGACCACCAACCGTTTTTGCCATGAAATCCGGTGGGCCGGTCGGCGCAACTCATAAATCGCGCGGAGCCCGGCAATCAACAAGGCCCTCAACCGGCGTCGGGCCCACCGCCTCGGACGTCCGTCAAAAAAGCCCCGATAATAATTTTCTCGTTTGATGGCGAACGGGTTGGCAACACCCTTTGCCGGTAGCGACGTAACGACCATCACCACAGTCCACTGCCACCACCTGCTAACAAGTCCATGACGATGGCAGTTTGTCTTATTCGCCACGACGGGTGATAGCTGATAAGAGCTTATTGATAGCCGGAATACCAGATGCACGTTCCCGGTCTCGTGTCAACTGACTGCTTACGTACGCCTTGATAATACCGATTTGCATATTCGGGGCGCGATCGAAACGTTTTATATTATGTTTTCTCGTCGTAGGTATTATTATAATATCGTAATATGATTATCTATAATATTATATAATATAATCGTAAATAAACAATATTGTTTATTGGTAGACAGAGCGCCCGTAGATGAGAGGGTGGGACAAAAGGGTCCATTGCCCCCACTGGGAAAAAAAAATAAAAATTGTAAACAACCATAAATTATTTGAGGGAATGGGGGCAAATTTTATTATGTGGCCATGAATTTATGGTCCAAATTAAAAAGTGTGTTATACGAAATATTACGAAAAATAGGCTCTGCGTTTTACCGTAACGGTATAAAATATTTCTATAGAATAAAATGTTTTGTCCCGGGTGGAAGTTTATCCCGCGGGCGCGCTTGTCGGTAGGTAGGTAGGTACATCATCGTATTATTCGATCGACTTGGTCTTCGGGTTGTCGGTATCCGGGATCCGAGCACAGTTCGGCGTTACATTATGTGACCGGTATACCTGCGCGGTTGTTCGAAACACGTCATATTATTCACGTACGTATATTATGTTATACGTACACGGTACACACGTCGTTATTCCTATTAAAATATTACACCAAACCTATAATATCTATAACGTAATTAAATAATTAGGCGTGTTGCGTGATTAGAACGTATTAACATTACAATAAATTGCACCACGTGTGCATAGACGCCAACTCGGTTTGCTATAATATTATATCTCTGTAGTAACATTGTACTCGTAGCGTAATATATTATAGAATGGGAGTGTAGCGAAGGATCCGTTATTGGTTTTACTATGGACGATGATGATGCGTATTTTTTTCTTTTTTGCGTCAGAACTTTTCTACCAGAAATTTCGCTTCAAAGTATCGCACGTTTTCTGAAAGGAAATTTTGTCAAGTATTGGTACATGAAGAGAGGTCGTTTTTTTTTTTTGATATCCAAAGCAGTTTTCATAATGATAATAATTAGAAAAAATTAAAAAATTAAAATTGATTAATATTTACGGCAACGCGGCGTCCCGGTCTAATTATTTTTATTTTTTCAACTCATGTTTTCTATCAGAAATATTGCTCCAATCGAAAAATGATATGAGATCGATTTTCTTCCATCTGACGTATATCTTCTGACAAGGAAAATGGTTTTTTGATATCAAAAGTATTTTTCATAATAATCGGGCAAAACCAAAAAAGACGAAATATACGATTTTCTTTTTAAATTACGATACGACGATTTCATTATATTAAATCTAAGGTTTATGTTTTCTAACATAAATTTTGTTTCAATAGATAAACGACAGTATTAACGAGTAAATTAGTCGGTATTTTAATTTTCTCTGTAGTTTTATTAATAATTGAACATAACCGAAATAAATCGTAGACATAATGGACAATTTTACAAAAATAATGCTTTTATTCAATTTTTTTTTTCGTTGTAATTCAAGTTAAAATATTTGTAGAAACTTAACATTTTAAAACATAATTTATACTTATTTTTTCTAAACGTGGTAAAATTTTCAAAACATTCGAGTTATTTTAAAGCTTAGGTACATGTTTTTATATTACCCAATTATTTTATTTGTTTCAACTGTTTCGTTTCTTTAGTTTTGTTTTTTTAATTTTTCATTGAAACTGTATTCGCTAAAAAAAAATGCAAGTAATACTCTTTGGTCGAAGTGAAAGGATGCTCTGCTTTTCATATATAATTGCTTATACACACAGATGGGATAGATGGGATAAGGAGGAAGAGGAATGGAAGTAATTTAAACTGTATACCTTTTTTCCTAATACAATTTTACGTATAGAGTACAATTATGTATTTTTATTTGGTGTCTTATTTTTCAACTACTTTCTCATCTTTTATGACTGCAATACAATATATTATTTGCACGTATATACTTTAAGTATGTATGTGCTTACACTTTATAAACACTAACAATAAAGGTACTCTTTAACTAAAAATGGAAAAACTAAACTTTTATGAACACACATTTTAATAATAATAAAATTATTATGGCGCAACATATAATATTATTAAACAAAAAATAAATAAAGATTTCAAATTTTATTAGAAAACTTCTTCGTACGTAATACAATTTTTTTTTTTTAATAATAATATAACCTATTGTCTACTAAATTATTCAAATTATGATATTTAGTTACACTTATATTTCAGTAACTATTCAATTTAAATTAAAACATAACA